AACTACCCGGGTAGTCTCACCACCCCTGGTTGCGACGAGATCGTCGACTGGTGGGTGGTGGAGCAGCCCATGTCGATCTCGTCGGCGGACTTCACCCGCTTGCAGACGCAGCTGAAGGAACTGTCGGTGACGGACAACGGCAACAATGCTCGCCCCGTGCTACCGCTGAACGGACGTACCATCGCCAGCCTGCAGTAGACTTACAAGTACAAGCATCTTTTCGCATTTGTATAGAGCGTGCAATGCTGCTTCGATCAATAAAGTTCCCTAATACTTCGAAGTATTGTGTTTTTGTTGCTACTCCACAATTCTTGATTTATCTTATCTCAACTTTTTTGTTTTACGATCGCAGTTTTATTTGAAAACTTTCTTCGTTTGTTACAAGTACTGTCCTCAAGTGATTTGATGCGTCAATTTCGTTTTGATCTTAGGTGGTCGCCGTTCGGTAATGATTTGCACAGAAGCGGACGAACAACTTCAACGTTAACTTGATTTTCAAGTGTCACCGCCGCCCTTGTGACTGACTGTTCCTAATCGGCCAAGAACAAAATGTCAGATGGTAACTCCTCTTCCGAAAACCATTTATCTACGCACACCATTATGGCGAATACTGAAACATGCATCGATCATGTGTTGACAAGCACATTTTGTATCGCTGGCGCAATGTGCGACGCGCACAGCACCTGTCTGAGCTTTCGTCGATACTCTACAACAGTCTCCACTAAAGTCATCATTACTTTTAATCAACCCGAAAAAATTAGTAGAGCAGACGGCGTTAAAAGCCCTTCCAGCTCGCAACCTGGTTAGGCAGATGATGAAAATCAGTGATGATGATGAAAATCAAAACCAACGCTACACCGGAAGATATTGTTTTACGTCCAAGTGGCACCAAGTCAAGACGAACAAAGAGCAATTCACTCCTCAATTGTCGTCCGACACTCAACATCGATAGTAACCTCGCCCCACTAACTACAACCACCTTTAACATCTTCCATCATCAACTACCATGAAGTTCTTCGCCACCGCTTCCGCCATTATCGCCGCTTGCACTCTCATCCAAA